CTGTGCTGTGCTGTGCTGTGCTGTGCTGTGCTGTGCTGTGCTGTGCTGTGCTGTGCTGTGGCGGTGATGTTCTGTAGTTCTTGATGGTAGAATGGGCAGCAACTGTTGGCTTGAGGGTGTTAGGAACGGAACGCTGTGGACTCAGCTGACAGGAAGCCCTTTGAGCTACAGGCAATGGGACTTTGTAATCGCCTTTACCAGTTGATACTAGAGTCAGGATTCAGGCTAATGCTTTGCCATCTCAAAGTTTTCTCAAAGCAGTAGGTATAAGGCATGTGATGTGTTTATGACTAGGTGTTGTCTGCCATATATGTATCGTGTGTGTGTGTGTGTGTGTGTGTTGAGTGTGTGTGTCGTGTATGTGTGTGTATGTGTGTTGAGTGTGTGTGTATGTGTGTTGAGTGTGTGTTGATGGTGATGATGTACTGGCTGATGTCCCACTGAATTTGAGAATTAGGAAAAGCCCTTTAACCAGGAATCAAAACTTTTCCTTTGTTGACTTAACGTTTTCTGTACAAAGAGGTTAACCTTATGTTTTCAGTTACTTTAAGGATTCAAGTTACTTCATCCCTTGGTAGTTTTCTAACTGCATTTCCTATACTCTTCCAATCTATGAATATGTACTCCCAAAATTTGGGGCAGAGAAAAAGGTCCAAGGTGTATTTATGTTTTTGTATTGGATGGTTTAGTTGTCACTCACTCTAATGAAATACGTCCACTGTTAAGATGAGGTATCAGTCCTCAGATAATAAATAAGCCCCTGCTTCAGGTGTTCTGTTTGCTTTCAAAGAAATTTTGGCTTTTTTCATAAATCATTTTCAATATCATAATAACCACATAAACACTTGTTAACTTTTGATAATAGAGCCCTTGATGAGACAATCATGTTGGTTTAAGTGGCTCACTTTGGACATATGTGAACTCATAACTGATTTTATGTATGTGTGCTGAGTAGTTGAAGAATTTGTATTCCTTCAGCTTGTTTGTTTGTTTGAGTCCCCCGGAGTTTATTTTACATTGCAGTTCAATTCTGTGTAAACCCACAGGAGACCTGACAGATGCCAAAACAAAGGAACACTTGGGATCCAGACAGCATGAGGTAGAATGGCAAACTTACCAGAGAATTCTGAAGAAGACAAGAGTCTTGGAAAAAACCAAGTGGCTGGATATCAAAGGAAATCATGGTAAAAGCCAAGAGTCAAATAAAATTGCACACACACGCGCGCGCGCGCACACACACACACACACACACACACACACTCCCTTCAGAAACATAGATTTTTCTAGTTTAGATTATAAAGTTATAAAATGGGAACTAATAACGTAAAGTTAGATATAATGAAGGCCACACTTTTTGTTTGTTTTGGGTTTTTTGTTGTTGTTGTTGTTGTTCTGTTTTGTTTTTTGAGACAAGATTTCTCTAGAGCTTTTTCCTGTCCTGGAACTTACTCGGTAGAACAGGCTGGCCTCGAACCCACAGAGATCCTCCTGCCTCTGCCTCCCAAGGGCTGGGGTTAAAGGTGTGCACCACTACCACCCAGCTAAAGGCCACATCTCTTATACACAGCTATAACATATGATATTAAAATTTCAGAGGCAAGTAGAGCTCTGTGAATTTGAGGCCAGCATAGTTTATATAGCAAGTTGTAGGTCGGTCAGGCTCCATAGCAAGATCCTGTCTCAAAAGATAAAAAGACAAAAGAAAGGTAAAAAAGAAAATCCAGAGGCAAAGGCAGGTGTATCACGGTGAGTCTGAGGCCAGCTTGAGCTACAGAGCAAGTTATAGGACAGACTCCAAAGTCACAGAGAAATCCTGTCTTGAAAAACCAAAAAGAGAATCTAAAACATTTAGATGTTGCTGTTAGCCTTTCAGGTGAAAGTTAGTATGATGTTTTCCTCTTTACAAAGGAGAAAGAGTTCTTCAGAAATTATGGCATAAACTGGGTGGTGGTGGCGCACACCTTTAATCCCAGCATTCGGAAGGCAGAGGCAGGTGGTAGATTTCTATGAGTTCGAGGCTAGCCTGGTCTACAAGAGCTAGTTCCAGGATAGGCTCCAAAGCTACAGAGAAACCTTGTCTTGAAAAAAAAACCCAAAAAATTATGTTTAAAAAAAAACCCTACATTTTGTTAAGTGAAAGAAGCTAAATCTACATCTTCATACTGTATGATTCCATTTATATGACATTCAGAAGATAAAACTATAGGCAGATGACAGATTGTAGTTGCCAGAGGTAGGGGTAGAAGGAGAAACTGATTTTAAAGGCATTAAGAAAATTTGGCATATGATTAAACTGCTTTATATTTTGATTGAGGTCTTGGATTTACCACTGTGTATTTGTCAAAATCCATAGACCTGAGATTGAGAAGCTAGCTCAACTAGTTGGTAGAGTGCTTGCCTAGTGTGTATGAGGCACTTGCTTTGATCCCCCGAACTGTGTACTGGGTGTGGCAACATTCCTCAGGTAGAGGTAAGAACCTCACAACAGATTCCAGGTCATTCTCTCTAGAATAGGGAGTTCCGGGCCAGCCTGGACTAGACACTCTGTTAGAAGCACTTGTTATGAATGTGTAGAATTCATTTCTTTCTGCCTCTGTAACCCCATGATGAAAACAGAACAACAAGATGGGTATAGAAGCACATGCCTGTCCTCCCAACATAAGGAAGGCTGAAGCAGGATGAATGAGAGTTTGAGACCAACACGAGCTACCTAGCAAGTTCCAGACAAGCAGCAACAACAGTGTAGACTTACAATTTGAAACTGACTTGTTCTAAACAAAATTACAAAGTACTTACTCTTTCTTCAGTATATTAGGTGCCTTAAAAGCTTCCAGGTAATCTGAGTTTGGTGAAGTTACTGCTCTTAAAATATCCAGTTGAGCGACACTCTGTCATTTAAAGGGTTACAGAAAGTGCTGTGTTTTTATGTCATTGATATGTTTGCATTTTTCTATTTTGCATAGGTGAATGTTTGCTTTTTTTTTTTTAGATGCATATAACATTCCAAGCCTGGAGAGCATCACGAATTATTACAGGTACCTGAATGAGTACAGTGCAGACTACTAAGTAGGGTCTGTCAGAAGGAGGGTCAGTCCAGTCAATGAATGAGTGGAATCTTTGTTTCCAAGACAGGCTTTCTCTGTAGCTTTGTTGCCTGTCCTGGAACTCACTCTGTAGAAAAGGCTGGCCTGGAACTCACAGAAATCTGCCTGTTTCTGCCTCCTGAGTGCTGAGATTAAAGGCATGCACTACCACTGCCCAGCAAATGAAATCATTTTTAAAAGGTGAAATTTCTGTTTAAAGAATTTTTGAGAGGGCTGGAGAAATGGCTCAGCAGTTAAGAGCACTGACTGCTCTTCCAGAGGACCCAGGTTCAATTCCCAGAACCTACATGGCAGCTCACAACTGTCTGAAAATCCAGTTCCAGGGGATCTGACACCTTCACACCAATGCACATAAAATAAAGATAAATAAATCATAAAAAAATAAAGCAGCCTTAAAAAATGAATTTTTGATAATTTAGAAAATGAGCTTTCATGTATGCATGTGTACGCATGCATTCGTGCACGTGAGCACATATCTACATGTATGTTACAATCAGTCCTTTTTTAAAAATATTTTTCTCTGCTTTCATTCTTTTTAGATCTCGCTATGTTCCCCAGGTGGGTCTGAACTTCTAATTCTCCTGCCAGCCTCAGCCTCTCATGCTAAAAGTATAGGCTTGAGCCACCACGCTTGGCTCTCTCTTTTCCTTTCTCTCTCTCTCTTTCTCTCTGTTTCTTTTTGAAATAGAATCTTACTAAGTAGATCAGGCTGATTTGGAACTCACAGAGATCTGCCAGCCTCCACCTCAGAAATACTGGGGTTAGGGGCGTGAGCCGCCACACCCAGCTTCCTTTAATTCCTTTGGTTACAACTGGGACAAAGTAGAAGTCATTTGGAGTGGTGTGAGTAGGTGGACTGCTGAGGTCAGTGGGATTTCAGATAACTGAGATACTGTCAACCTCTGGAGTGGCCAGAAAGACCAATGGTCACCCATGATTGCTTTTCCTTTCCTCCGATTAATATAAACATTACATTTTCTTCATATGTCATGACATGATTTCACCTGGGAACCTCTGTGTTAGAAGCAGTCTCTGAGTTTCAGTGTGTTGGGATACTTCTTTTGGTCGCAATTTCACTTTCAGTTCCTGCTATTGAGGAGATTTATTATGCTTTGTTGTTTAATCGAGCACTAGGTGTTCTTGAAGAGCTCTTCACTAGCGGTGTGGTCTCAGGGATAGAAGAGCTAGTGCTAACAAATGGCCCCTGCCTTCAAGGAACTTATGTTCTGGTAATACTTAAAGGAGGGAAGATGTGTCAGGAAAGCATTAGAAAAGAACGTGAAGGAAAGGCTGATGAAATGCTGCCTTGCTTCACGTGCGAATCATTACAGGAAGTCAGGAAAGGTAGAGGTCGTTGCAGGGTGGACACAGCCAAGGCCTTGGGAAGGGAGTGAAATGTTCTTAAGAGATGGGCTGTGGTTGCAGGTCTGTTCCGTTGGTTTTCAAACTTGAGTGTGCAGAATAGTTGCCACGCTAGATTTTTAATAAAGAGTCCCATGTTTTTCTCCAGGTGTTTGTTGTAATGGATATTGACCCCAGAGCCTTGTGCAAGTTGGGCACGATGGCACACACCTTAAATCCCAGCTCTCAAGAGGTAGAGGCAGGCAGATTTCTTTGAGTTTGAGGCCAACCTGGTCTACATAGTGAGTTCCAGGACAGCTAGGGCTACACAGTGAGACTTAAGTCTCTCTCACACACACAAAAGAAGAAGAAAAGAAAAAAAGAATAAAGAAAAAAACCCACCCAAACCCAATAAATTAATTAATGAAAAAAAGTCATATTTCTTTAGCATGGCTTAAAGCGATTCTGCCGTCCTAGGGGTAGTCCCGTGGTCAGGTGATTGGCCTAGTCCAGTTGGAATGTTAGGTCTCTGTCCAGACCAGAGATTGTATTATCTTGACTAGAAGTCTTTTCTTGATGAGCTTTTATTACTATTCTAACATGAAGCCCACTCTTTCTATCATTGCACTAAAGCCTTTCTGTCTGTATCTTTTAGGAAATATTCTGCTGTGCGGAAGGACGGCTCTTTCCATTATGTGCACAGTACTCCCTTTGGCAACTATTCTTTCATCTCTGTGGATGCCACCCAAAGGCCAGGGCCTAAGAGACCCTATAATTTCTTTGGAATTTTAGATGAGGTATGAGTTGAAAAAATTCACTTCCCTTTTTAGCTTACCTGTTTTTATTTTTTCTTGAGTATATTTGGACTGTTTAGTTACCTGAAGTAAACACGTTCTTATCTAGATATGCTCAAGAAAAACTTTACTGCGGTTACAGATATGTCTGTAAGCTACTAGCTGCTTCAGAATTGTTACTGCTGTCTCTATTCTCATCCCAAAAGTTGGGAAGGGAGCACCTCACTTTATATATTCATCTAGCAAATGTTTTTTGAATGTGTATTAAGTATAGGCTATATTCAGCAAGCTACAAGGCCTATAGCTTAGTATATGTTACATTGTTGCCAATATTATTTAGTGGTCTATATTTTTCTAATCAGAGAACAACTTAAACATTTTGGCAAGGCTAAGAACCTGAGAATCTGTGTCTTATCACAACAAATGCCAGTTCTTTATTTGATGAGCACATGCTCTTACATGAGACACATTCACCTGCTTAGAAGAGTAAAAGGAGCTAAGATCAAGCAAGTTCCTGGGTGTGTCAGTTAGTATCAGAGCATGTGACCAGTTCAAAAAACTGGCAAATGCAGAGTTCATCAGGCACTGAAAGAGGTTCAGAGTTATGTGAAGGTTCTAGAAGTAAAGAATATAGAATACAGTTATATTTTGTTTCCTAATCACCAAGTGCCTTTAGTGAGCTGGTGAACAATATTTTTTTCTTAGAATAGAGTTTTAAATATACAGTGCACAGATCAAGTCCATAAAAATCAATTGTGGTGTTACCCAATGCAGAATCCCTGGTCTTCTGTTAATTTAGATTTTTTTATTTTGTTTTATTTGTATGAGTGTTTTGCCTATATATATATATATATACACATATATACTGTGTACTGTGTGCATACAGTGCCCATGGGAATCAGAAGCGGGCACTAGATCTTCTGGAACAGGAATTACAAATGATTGTGATCCACCATGTGGGTGCTGGGAACTGAACTCAGGTCCTCTTCAAGAGCAACCAGCGCTCTTAACCACTGAGCCATCTCTCCAGCCCCTGAGTCTCCCTAGTCTTACCCCAATTTTACCAAATTAGAAAGGGTAAGGCCCGGAAATTCATTACCATATGTATGTTATAGATATTATAAGTACATATTCTGTACGTGCAAATTATGTTTTGAAATCAGTGTCATGAGGTGCTTTAAATACAATAAAATATACTAATTTTAAGTGTTTGAAGAATTTACAAATGTATATCCTGTTTTAACTTTCTCTCAGTCAAGATTTAGGACCTGTCTACCACACTAGAAAGTTTTCTTGTAGAATCTGTCTTTATTCTGATGGTACAAGTGATTGATTTTCTATCAGCATGGTTTTATTTATTCTAAACTTTTAGGTAAATGTGATCCTACAGTATGCATTCTTGGGTTTGGCTTCTAAGTCTCAGTGTGATGCTTCTGAGATGTGTGTCTGTGGTTGTGGCCATCCGTAGCTCTTCCCTTTTTACTGCTGAGTATTCCATTATGTGGGTGTTTTATTTTGTTGGAGTTTCTAATATTTGACTATATTGAATAGAGATGTTAAGACATTTAGGTTTGTCGGTGGACATATAACATATGTGTATGTTTTAGACTTTTGGCTTAGTGTTTCTTTTGGAAATTGTGATATAGCAGTATACAAAACTAAAAAGATTAGTTGCCTCACTAAGGAGATAATTATTCTCCCCCATTCCTGACACTGGGGATTGAACCCAGGACCTCGTGCTTGCTGCTAGGCAAAAGCTCTACCCCTGAGCCACACTCCTAACCCTGAAAACAGTGACTAACTTATTCTTCAGTTTCATATGCATCAAATGCAGATGGTGCTTGCTCTGCTCACTGCAGTCATCTCAGAATGAATTATAAAGTGAATGAACACAGTTCAAACTGATAGAGATCTATTTAGGTCATGACCTACTAAAATTGAGGCACAGAGACAATGTGATTGTTGTTATAAACATTAGGGGAAATGTTTGACCTCTCTGGCATTGGATTTTTCTCCCATTTCAGAAACAGATGGAGGAACTCTTATCGTTCTCCAAGAAAAGTAGTCAGAGCAACCAGACAATTTGGTTTGGACACTTTACAACATCTACTATCCTTTCTCCGTCCCCAGGGATCCGGACAGTTATGAGGTAAGGCAGGCCTCCAGAACCTGAACTGCTTATTTCCAATTGCTGAATCCACTTGTTTTTCTAAAGAGACCTTCTTATTGATTTGGCACACAGGTTGTCTTTGTTCATTTATTCTGTTTATTTTTCGTTGTTTAGTTCGGCCACAGCTTATTTGTGTGGGCACCTCCACACTCTTGGTGGACTGATGCCTGTTTTGCACACTCGTCACTTTACAGGCACTTTGGAACTTGAGGTGGGAGACTGGAAAGACAATAGAAGGTAAGGAAGCCTCCCTAGAAATGAAGTTTACACACATTTTGCTAAAACAGTGACACTTTCTTATATGATGGGTTATCCCAGGAAAAATTAATGATAATTCTGTTGTTTTGGTTTGTTATTTTGAAGAATAGTTCTAACTATGTAGCCCAGGCTAATCTTTAATCCTTCTGCCTCTGCCTCCTGAGTGCTGAAATTATAGGCATACGCCACCACCAGGCTAATATTTGTTTCTTTAAATTCACACACATGTCTCAATTTCTTTGCTTGTTGCTGTGATAAAACACTCTGACAAAGCTATTTAGGGGAGAAAGTTGATTCTGGCTCAAAGTGACAGTCCATCCTGCTGAGGAAATCAAGGTAGTAGGAGTCTGAAGCTGCTGATTACATCATGTCCACAGTCAGGAAGAGAGCAGAATGCTCAGCTCCCTTCACTTACGTCATCCTTGAACCAGTCAGGAAATGGCACCCACAATGGGGTGAGAGTGGGAGTTCTTCCCTCTTCATTTAACAAAATCAAAATATTCCCCCCACAGATGCCCAGAAACCCATCTCAGGTGACTCCAGGTTTTGTCAAGCTGTCAGTTAATATGTCTCTAGCAATCTTTTCCATTATGTAAAACCTTGTTACAACAGTGATTTTTTTTAAATTAATTACTTTATTTTTTATTAGATGTATTCATTTCATTTTATGTGAGTGTTTTGCCTGCATGTGTTTATGTGCACCATGTGCATGCATGGTGCCTGCAGAGGTCAGAAGGGGAACAGATCTCCTGGAACTGGAGTTAAGGATGGTTGTGAACCACCGTGTGGGAGCTGGGAACTGAACCCAGGTCCTCTGCAAGAGTAGCAAGTGCACTTAACCACTGAGCCATCTCTCCAGCCCCCAAAGCACTGATGTTTACCATCAATATGCCATGTAAATTTTAAGGCATGTCTATTAGAATGTAGGGTTGTTTCTTTCTTTTATTCCTTTTGAGGCACATAGCCCCTAACTGGCCTGATACTGGCTGTGTGTGTATACTAGGCCGATGTAGAAACACTTGTGCCTCCTGAGTGCCGGGACCAAGGCATGCACAACTATGTGTAGCTTTTTTTCTTTTTATTTCTTTTTTTCCCTTTTTCTTTTCTTTCTTTCTTTTTTTCCTTTCCCCCCCCCTTTTTTTTTGCATCCCAGGCTAGCCTAAAACTTACTCTTTAGCCTAGGCTGGCCTCACCATCCTCCTGACTCATCCTTTCAAGGATTGGGTCTACAGATAGGAGCCACCACAATTTGGAGTTTTAAACTCCAGTGTTAATAAGAATTGGGGGGGGGGAAGAGTTGTGAAAGAGCTTAACGGTGTCCAAACTCACCATTAAAAACGTTATCAGTGTGGGCTTATGGACCAAACTCTCAGGTGCACTGGAACTAGATTTTTTTTCCCTTGAATTTTGTGCCTGACATTCTAGTTATTGCTGTCATAGCTGTTTAAATTCTTCAACTAAATGAGAGTTCATGCTTGATATGGCATTGTTGGTGGAATGAAGAATACCTGATCTTGGGCTTATGATGTACACCCCTGGTTCAAAATAATAGTGTAATAGTGCTGTCTAGAATAAAGTGAACTAATTCAAAAAACTTTTACTTTAAAATCAGAGAGTGCGGGCCTTTTTGTGGGACATATTCGAGTCATTGGCTCAGTGGGAGTCCTGCTGACCCGCAGGTGGGGAAGACAAAGCTGCAGGGAAGAGGGAAGAGCCTGGAGCAACCCCACCCTGCATCAGTGCTTTCTACATTTGTTCTGTGTTTATTCTCAAGTCTCTTCCTCTCTTTTTGAGACAGGGTCTCCTGGAGCCCAGGCTAGCCTTGTAGCTCACTATCTAGCCCCAGGATGACTACAAATGTCTGATCCTCCTGCCTCTGCCTCGTGAGTGTCATACCTGGGTTTGGAACCCAGAGTTCCCTGTATGCTAGGCAAGCACTCCACCACTACATTCTTAGCCCACTCAAGCTTAGAATGAGAAGTAACTAAATTCCCTTACTCTCTATGGCCTCCAGGTACCGGATCTTTGCCTTTGATCACGACCTCTTTAGCTTTGCGGACGTAACCTTTGACAAGTGGCCCGTGGTTCTTATCACCAACCCTAAATCACTCCTCTATAGTTGTGCCAAACATGAACCACTAGAAAGGCTCTTCCACTCAACACACATCAGGTATGCTTCAGTGTTTCAGAATTTACTTTCACATTGAAACGGGTGAAGAATAAGTCATTGTGATTCTATTCCCATGTAAAAGCTAGGGAATGTCCCACTTCTGATTTTGTCAACAACCTACACATATAAACTGTTCACTGTTTCATCCCATTCAATATACATACATATATATGTCTGTGTGCATATATTATATACACATATATACATATACACATACATATATATATAAATAAATAATTTGGGAGTTGGTACTTGAACCCGGGGCCTCATGCATAACAGGCCATATAGGTATAGAACACTACCACTATTTCTAATCCCCTAAAATGTAATTTTTAAAAAAGATGATAAAATCTTTTAAAATCACCCAGAAACTCTTTAGCCAATCATTATGAAAGACCCCCGGAGCTGGGAGACTCTTACTCAAATCTTGGGATAACATGACCCCCTAGGAACTCACGAGAGACGTCCTTGCTGCAATCATACTGGTTTATTGACAGGGCAGAAACCAGTACACTGGGGCCTGAAACTCATTTCCCACGCAGGAGTATCGACCCCGAGTAGCTGTGAGAGGGGATACTTAGGGGAAGAAACCACAACCCAAAGAGAGGGTGTCATTTTCGGAAAATTCCGAAAATACCAGTGATCATTGGAAAATTCCAAAAATACCAGTGATAATCCCAAGGGGGAAACTCCCTGTTTTTCAAGATTATTCTCAAGATTATAATCTAACTTTATGGTCAGCTAGCTCCTGGAACAGAGTCACTGAACCAGCTAACCTAGATTTTTGGTTCTTCTCTCCCTGCTAGATTTTTGGTTCTATTTTTCCTGCTAGATTTTTTTGGCTCTATTCTTTCTGCTAGAGGAGTCTGGATTTATTAGGGTCTTTCAATTATTATTTTGTATATTTTATTCCAGTTTTTCTATTCACATGTTTACATTGCTACAACCATAACATATTACCTTATAATCTGTACTTATTTATTCATTTTTATTAATTATTTGCCGGGCTGAGAATCAAATTAAGGCCTTATATGTTATAATCCACAGCAGAAAGTTGCAGTCCACCACAAATGTAAGGACAGATGAGAGCCCTTTCTTTAAGCCTGAGACCGAGGGCAGGCTTCTGTTATGAAGAACTCTAGGAGAGTAGGGTTTATAAGTCAAAACCACAATTGTACTCTAGCAGAGGCAAGCAAGCAGGGGGTCAAATGTTGCAAAGCCTTCAGTTCCCTTCATTAAAACAATGCCATAGCTGCCTGGGATTAGTCTGCTCAGTGGGATGTGCTTGGTGGGGGTTGGGGAGCTGGGTGTGTGGGGTGAAGCACAGGAGGGAGCTAGCTGAAAAAGGACAGAGCTACTTTTGGGCATTTCAGTATTCCAGTGAGGCAGCTGCTCTACCACAAAACAGCCTCAGCCCCACGTATCCTACTTTTAGACATTTGTATTATACATCAGGATTCCCCCACCCCCTGTTTTGCTGAATAACCTGCCAAAAGAATAGGTTGTATAATCCTGATGAAATTCAAAATATAGTTTATGTATGACTTTGGTAATGTTTGTTAAAAGAATTCTAATGAGACATTATTTTTGGAAAACATCTTTCAAATGTAAGATCGCTTTTTAAAATATATGTATTTTTTCAATTTTATTTTGAAAAATAATCTAAGCCAGGTGTGGTGACAGCATCTGAGAGGCTGAGGCAGACAGGCAAGCAGTCCAGAGTCACAGCTCTGGGAGAGACGTTTCTAAAGAGCTACCGTTAGCACCTCCAGCGTCCCTTCACAAGCAGGCTCCAGAGAGACAGGTTTTCATATTATTCTCACCATAAGGCACAGACTAAGCAAATTTCTGTCTTCTCTGTGCACAGAGAGCACACCCCAATTTAACTACTCAGTCATATTTTTAATGACATCTGGATATCAGCACTAGGTGTTATCCGAAAAGCTCTGGTTATAACTTGTGTTTTCTGGGTAGTACATCAGGAGCCAAGTGAATGAATTATAGGCTTGACATAGGATTAATAGGCATTCTCTTCCTAAGAGTAAAACCAGGAATTCAGGAATTTCTTCAGAAAGGATTTTTAGTCTATTCTAGGTAGATTTCTCAGAAGAAACTGATTTTGCTTTCTGAAAAATAATAGTTTCTGGAGTGTGGGGTATAATTTTGTGGTAGAACACTTGCCTAGCATGTCCTTAACACTACAAAAGAAAGAAAAAAAACAATAGTCTCAATTTCTTTTTTTGTTTGTTTGTTTGGTTTTGTTTTTTGTTTTTTTGGTTTTGTTTTTTGAGACAGGGTTTTTCTGTAGCTTTGGAGCCTGTCCTGGAGCTAGCTCTTGTAGACCAGGCTGGCTTTGAACTCACAGAGATCCGCCTACCTCTGCCTCCCAAGTGCTAGGATTAAAGGCATGCCACCTCTGCCCAGCTAATTTCTTAGCAGTTCATTGCCAAGTTGTACAAGGTCAAGGTCTTTGCAGTTGTGCAGTGTGGCCCCGCCTGCACTCTGTGTCCTCAGGTTACAGTAGTGTTGTTCTCTGAGAACAATGTCCTGTACTGAAATCATGCATCTTCTACATGCTCTCTTCCCAGAGTGCTGGCCTTTTCCTCATCCCCCATCACTTCCGTCACCGTTAAGATTGATGGAGCTAATGTAGGCCAGGCTACTCACATGTCTGGTCCTATCTTCATACTGAAGTGGAACCCTAAAAACTACAGTAACGGCACACACACCATAGAAGTATCCGTCCAGGTAAATTGTCGTTTTAACTTGTTCTGTTATTGCTTGGGCTCTCGCCACAGTGAACTCTGATTTGGGTTTTATTGCTAGTCAGTCGGTAGTAAACAAATTTGATAAGCAGTAAATAAAGTTTGAACACAGGATATTTAGCGTGCTCTTTTGGAAGTTACATTTTATGTATTTATTTTCTGTGTCCAGGCAGGGAGAACTACAGGCACCGTGATGCAAGTGTAGAGGTTGGAGAACAGTTTGCGGGGGTCTGTTCTCCTTTAAATACACCATATAGTCATGGGAATTTACCTCAGGTTTAGGCTTTTGGTGGCAAGCACCTTTACCCATTGAGCCATCTCACTGGCCCCAAGTTTTCTTGTTCTTTGAGATCCCCTCCTCCATCATTATCCCTGGGCAATCACAGATCTGTTTTCAATCTTACATGCATGACTTTAAAAAATTAATCTGCTAAAGCCTGGTTAGGTGGCACATATATATAATCCTAACTACTCAGGAGACTGAGAAAAGAGGACCATGAATTTGAAATCAGCCCAGGTAATATGGTAAGTGTTATGCCCAGATCCACAAAGTCCCCCAGAAACCAACAAGGAGACTGAGTATGTAAAAGCAATGAGCCTTTATTTTATACAAGTTTGCAAACTCAGTCTCTCTGTATGTCCAACGTATTGGAATAATCAGAGAGCCCCAAGGTCAGTTAGAATTGGGGTTTTATAGTAGTAAAAGTGGGGGTGAGGGACTTCTAACGTTCAGGACCCCTGATTGGCTGACATTTGTCTAGGGGTGTCCTGGTGAGTGTGTGCTGGCAGGTGATCCTATCTACAAGGGTTGGAACTTTAGGCATTTCTTTTGGATGGTCTGTTCTGGGGTGGTGCTCAGGTAAACTCAGTTTGTGGTTCTTCCTGCAACCAGGTATTGCCTCAGGGTAAACTACTGAGACTCAGGCCTCCATTATATTTATCTTGGCTATGTCCTACACTGGCAGGTGATAATGGTTGGGTAAAGAACTTTCTTTGGGTGGTCTGTTTCTATTAAGCCTATCATGGCTGGCTCCTACAGTGAGATACTGTCTCAAAAAAATTCAATCTACTGATTGATTATTAAACAGGTAGCTTGGTTCTTCCACTCATTAATGGTCAAGTTCTGTCCAATTTAAATACACTACATTAGATAGGCATGATTGTATGAATACACATGCGTATGCATGTTTGCTTGTGTGTGTGTGTGTGTGTGTGTGTGTGTGTGTGCACATATGTGTGCACACATATACATTTGGTTGATTCAAATCAGAATCCAAACAAGGCTTACATAACAATTAGCCCTGACTGTCCTGGAACTCTCTCTATAGATCAGGCTGGCCTCAGTCTCAACTACCTGCCCCTGTCCTGATTGCTGGGATTAAAGGTGTATAATACCACCACCTGGCAATATCTTCCATTTCTTTTACCATGTAGACCCTCTCCCCACCTCTGCTTTATTGTCCTTTTCACCTTATTTTGTAAATTCTCTCCCATTTTCATATATGTGATCTGTATGTATGTATGCAGTATGTATGTGTGTTTATGCATGTCTGTATGTGGTTACAGGAACACATGCATATAGGTGTGCATGCATGCATGTGAAGGACCTTGGTTGATGCTGGGAATCATCCTTATTTGCTCTTCCATTGAAGCGTTAATCTAATTAATCTTCATCAATTAAAAAAATCGGGGGTCAAATATTGGGGTAAGAACCTGAAAGATCAGAGCACTGGGAGCAGCCACCAGTTGCTTCCTGCCTCTTTGATTCTACAGTCCAAAGGACTGAGATCCCTTCTCAGCCCCGTCTTATGGCTTCCTGTCTCCTGTCTGTCTACAGTCCTCCAAACCTCTATGGTCAACTAGTGGCTAGCTCTGCCCTCTGACTTCAACCAAGCTTTGTCAGAACACAATCAAAAAATATCATGCAATATTCCTTATTATTCAGTGAAGCAGGGTCTCGTAATCAAAGCCAGAGCATGCAGATATGGCTGATCTGTAGGCGTTTTTTTCTGTCCTGCCTGCCAGCTCCCAAATCATTATGTGGAGACTTATTATTAATTATGAAAACTTAGCTGATAGCTTAGATTTGTTTCTAACTAGCTCTTATAACTTAAATTAACCAAGATCTTTTAATCTATATTCTTATATGGCTCTGTTACCTTTACTCTGTACTGCCCATGCTGCTTGCTCTGTGTCTCCTGGTATCTCTTCTTGACTCCACCTTCATCTTCCCAGCATTCGCTCTGCCCTGAAAATACTGCCTAGCTGTTAAACCATTCATAGTGACATATGTTCACACAGTGTAAAGGAATATTCCACAACACTGGTCTCCCTAGCTAGCTTGAGGATCCCACTTACAACTTCTGAGTTTGGAGTTGGAGGCAG